AATAAGCACGTTAAACAATATAACAAAATTGCAAGAAAAAAAAATAAACATCACAAAAAGTTAAATAATTAGGTAAAGAACAATTATTTTTCAACCAAAGTAATAAAAAATGTTAATAAATACTTATTAATTTCTTTTAATTTTATAAAGGATTATAGGAAGTAGTTGGATACTTCTTTTTATTTTAGTATTTTTACATTTAAAATATAATTAAAAAAAAACTATTTGAATATTTTTATTTTAGGGTAGGTATTTACCACAGTATCATCTTCTATAATTTTTTCATCTAAATGCTTAACAATATGTCAGTTCTTATTTTACTATAGAATTATACTTTCCTTTGAACACGATTTAATACAATTTAGTACCTACATTTAAATAAATATTACTACTTTTGGTAATATTTGAACAGTGGACACATGTCTTAAATAAACGAACTTAGAAATTTTATTATCGTTCAAATCATTAAATACATTTTCAATATCTTATTTATTATTATTTTTTTTTTGTTAAAAACATCATTTTTGCTATTTTTGTGGATATTTATTCCGTTTATATGTATGGAACAGTTAGTTTGTATTTTTGTATTTATAACATGGGTTAATATGAAAATGTCTGGATGAGATTTTGTGAATTGTGAATTTAACTTTGAGTGGAAAGACTAATAGTTATAACTTATAACTCATATAAGTAGTACGTTTCGATGTTATTTCCTTTGATACCAAAATACATGATTGAATTTTACTCCTTCATCAATATAATATTTAACTAAATAAACGCAGAACTGCATTACTCTTTCATCATTTGGTTAGGTTAAATTTGTCGTAAAGCAATCGTTTATATTATTTCTTCTGAAAATAATAATGGTAAGTCGAATGCCCATTTTAACCAATTACCTATTTCACTTGTAATATTTAAATATTCTTTGATAAGTCTAAAAAAATAAAAATTATAAATAATAAATCAATATTCAACGATTCGTATTTCTTGCCTTATTATTTTAGTTTCTTCAAAATTGAAAACTATTTTTGACGGAGTGAATAATAAATTAATTTCTGAACATTTTTTATTCATTAAAAATTATAGTATTATAGTCTATAGATATTAAAATATAATAGAGATCTTAAACATATGATTTCAGCCAGAGTTATAATTAATATATACATATATAGCGTAATGTGTCTTAGCAATAAATACAGAAAAAATAAAATACATTGATTCGTTTTATTTTTATTTTAATAGTGAAAACAAAATATTACTTAAATTTTTTTGAAGATATATATTTTTAAAATAGTCAATTTGTAAATTTAGTTTTTTGAAAACTTTTTGTTGTGAAAATATTTTATTTTGTGAAGTAGCAAAAAAAGTGCCTTAACAAAAAAACCAGTATATTAAAAAATTAACTAATAATCTTAACAATGAAAAAATATCGAAAATTCACTTATTTACATTGGTCCACCGTCCAGGGGGGATGAACAAAGTCCAACGCAATAAATATGTAGACATTATAAACAGTAGCTGGCAGAATCAATATAAACTTTTTTCTTAGTTAAGTAGTTTAGGCGGAATCAATAATTCCCCTTATTTTACATTACAAATAACATAAGTGATTGAAGTAGATACTAAAAACATAAAAATATGATTAGGTATAGATACTTAATTGTATTGAATTTAATTACATCTATAGTTGCCACTCGCTGATATAGTAAAAAAAAGATAAGCTACACGAAAAAAAAAATAAATAAGTTTTCAAATTTATCCATCAATTACATTAATGTACTTGTGTCACGTAAGTTTGTGTTCATACTGACCACCGAAAGAGCCGCCGTGGACTACGTCTTCGGAATCGTTGGTTTCACTATTGAATCAACAGAAATTCTACTAAACAGTCCTAATATTATTTATGATACGATTTTAAAATACAACTATTATAATATAATATAATAATTTTTAAATTACAAATTTCACGTCCAAAGCGGAATAATGTACGTATAATTTATGAATTAATCTGTATAACTTATATTTGGTTACAAATGTTATAATGTTTCATAAATATATGAATATTTTTCGGGTATTACACTGAATACGTTTAAAATATGCATGCAAGTATGGAATTAAAATAACAAAAAAATATTCTAAATTATGATGTACTGAAAATTCATTATGCAACATTTCACAAAATAAATGTATATCTTATTTAAACAACTTTTTGCGATCACTACAAAAATGTATGTAAATTGAAAATACAATAATTGCCGGAACACTACTATAGAAAAATTAAAAAGGAAGAATATGAGGTAACTGCTTTGTTGTACAGTAGGTGTTGATTGTTTTTTGACCTCGTCATTTAGTAAATTACTATAATGTATGCTTTATATTTGAAGTTAATGATAAATTATTGTACATGAAAAACGATTCTGAGCCAAGACGGTCTACCTACAACACTAAGAATATTTTATGTTATATATTTATAGCTATTAAAATTATTTATTTATTTTACTATTAATAATACAGCAGGTTTAATTAATTTTCATCGAAATCATTGTCATTATGTATATAAAATATAATTTATAATTATACTATATACTAAATGTTTCAAACAACCACGAATAATATTTTTAAATTATAAAAAAAAAATAACTAAAATTGTTATTCTTTATTCTTTAACTAATTTCGTCCAAATTTGAACTTCAAATGCTTAAAATATAGATCACATTTGAATCTTAAATATTTTTAAATGGTTATAACAACTTATGAGAAATCTTGTATAAAGTTTTCAAGGTTTTTAACTGTGCGATAATTTTTTATTCGTTATTGTGTAAATTAAATTCTTACCAAATTTAATTATAATAAAACAATTTAAATTTTATTAAAAAAATGTAATAATAAAACGACCAACATCGTGGGATGTCTGTAACTGGAATGGTTGTGATTAAATTTAAAAACAATAATTCTGAAATAACTTCTGTAGCTATATATTATATTAAAGACCTTCGGTATTTTAAGTCAATATAATATTATATGTATCAACTCGAAGTTCATGTTTTTTTTTTATCGTTGCTGCACACTTAATTAACTCCATTAGACATTGCCATAGGTATCAGGAAGTGAACGCATATTACTTTTATACCTAATTTATAAATTAGGTATTATTAACATATTATGTATTTATATTATTTATAGGTACGTTTAAAATAGTTGGAATTTATTATGTACCAGTACGAGCCATAATGTTTACTGTTAGTCAATAGATAATAAAGCCATTGCTCACTTAAAAACATAATTATTATATTAAATTAAGTACAGATTCTCTCATCGGGTTCATTGTAAGCTCAACAGGCAAGTAAATATTATATTCATCGCTTCGAGCATAATCTGAAAGTGGGGGACTTGACACCTTCACCACTACGCGTCATCGCGGCGAGAACGCAGCAGCGGAGTTGCACTATTTAGTCGTAGGTGATTTTAACGAATCGACATCATGTACGACAATAATGTTCCGGGTTGCTACGCAATATATAGGTACATACGTATTCATCTGGTCGTCGAAAAAATAAAATAAAACGACAATAATTGTTTGTATTATCACATTAAAAATTGTGCTTCGACTGCGCAGTCGTGTGTAAAATCGTGCTCGGTTATGACCGAGACTAACGAGATAACGCGTGTCGTTGTCCTGCAGACACACACACACAGTGGCGTGTTGACCGTGATTTTGAAGGGCAGATGCCCGATCATTTTTAAGGGGTGGTGCTGGGTTGGTGGGTACTGGATTTAGTAAGAAATATTATTATACAAGACTACCTGACTACATCATCTCTGAATTAATTTGTTATTTAATAAGAATAATAACTTCAATAGTTATAATTATAAGAAAAGCTATCTAATAGTGAGTACCACATATTATTAATTACAATATTATACTACAGTACATTCTACTTAGCTACAATAAATTAAAATAAGAAATTATAGTATTATGCGTTAGTGACTATGAGGCATCGGCATAGGCATTCCGGCATAAGCATCTTGAGAATATTATATATTATTGCGATATAACGGCTTCATAGAATCATAAACCGGAAATATCCAGGCTTCAGTCAACAGTAAATAAAGTAATTTATATTGATTTAATAAAGGTACTTTTTGTTGTATATAGTATGGCACATGGGTCAGCGGGTAGCGGGTACTGTGTAAAATTAAGGGGTGTAGGTTATTCAAAAATGAATTGCCCGATAAATATTTCACTTCGCCACGCCACTGCACACACACACACACAAACAATATCCTCTCGCATTTCCTCTGTTTGCGGGCGGCGTCGATCTCGCACAGTCGTCGTTGGTCGTACGTCGCCACACCTCGCGTACTAATCACGTCACTCGTCGTCCGGCGGGACGTCGAGTACCGAGTCCCGCGGCAGGAAAGCGAAACCGCCTAAGACCCGCCCGACTCTTCACCGCGCCTCGGCGACCGCGGTGTATCGGTAGTACGCGCAGTCACTCGCGCACGAACATAATGACCAAAATAAAACGATAATAATACCTCAGGATAAACTGACTATTACGACGGGTATTGGTTTACGGCGCGTTCGGCCGATGACCATTTATGGCCGGTCATCGAGCGAGCGAGCGCGGGATGATGAGTCATCGTTCCGAGACGCCGATTGCGCGGCGCGCGTGTGTCGCCGCCGCCGCCGCCGAGTCGTTTGCGTTCCGTGTCGGCAAACGGCACAACGGCGCGCGACGGCGAAGAGGATCGCTCGCAACGGCCGAACGGCCGCGATAACGAGCGCGCGCACGCGGAACCTAACGCCCGACAAAGACGACCGCGACGACGACGACGACGACGACGGGGCGGGAGGCGGTGAAGAGTCGGCGGAGCGGGAGGTTAGCCGACCTTGCAGTCGTTTTGTACCATCGTCGCCGCCACCGCCGCTGCCGCCGCTGCCAAGATATCAACGCCGTTATTTTGACGGTCAGTCAGCCAACGAGCTGATATCGCCGTCGTCGCTGTCGCCCGGTCGTCCACCGCCGCGGCCCACGTGCCGGACGACTTGGCCACCCGACCACCTCATTTGCGCGTCCGCGGCCGGCGACGAGCAGTCAGTGTTCGAATCGCACTCGACGGTGCAGCAAGTTGTGTGTGTACATCGTCGTGTCATACTGCCGCAGCGGTGATTGGCGCGCGCACACGTGTTGCCGTCGGCGGGTGCGGTATAACGATAACGATATAATATCGTTTTAAAAAATATCAATTCATCGCCGTCGTCGTCGTCGTCGCATTTTGAGCGGACATTGAACAGAGAGAGGCGCTCCGACCTCCTGCTGCCGCCGTCAAGTCTTCCTCTGCGACAGCGCCGTTTTTGGGGCACTCGTAGCGCCGACTGCCGAGGTACCTACCTGACATTTACGAATAATATTGTACCAATACATCATAATATGATCATTTTATATGTACGGATGTTATAAGTTCTCATTGGGTGGGCATTTTCAATTGTTTTTACACGAACTCGACGGGACCGTCGTTCGGGACCAGTTCGTGTTAAAATTATATTTTCTGGCCGTATCGATAAAACGATAATATGATTCAAAAAATTTGTTTGAGTTTTGTGTTGACCAAAAAATTCGTGTAATTCGAAGTAATAATAAACTCACCTTAAAGTATAGATCTCTCCGAGACCGGAACACTCATTCGATTTATCTAATAATTTGTTTTAATCGAATTCGTGTTAACGAGGGAGTACTGTAACTTGATAAATTATTCTTAAATTTTTCCATTAAAAAAGCTGTCAGTTAAGCTAGTTAAATTCTCGAATTAATTAGAAAATTAATATATTAATTAGCGCCCAACTTAATGCCCTGAATCTTTGGTATAATACAACGATTATCGACTACGACGTATTCGTTTGTCGTTCGTGTCGGTGTTGCGTCTATTATTTAGAATTATTTGACCAACGTTCTATCTAAATTAAGAATATTATCTGTGAACGTGGTTTTTTACAATATTTTAATTTTTAAGCGACCTATGAGTATGTAAATTATTACAATCTAAAAATGCTCAATGTATCGACAGAAATATCCATACCTACGAGTTTTGATAACGGATGAATAACTCTGATGCGTATTACAGTTATATGAATAAAATTCGTTTCGCTGAATGCAAATTTACTGTACAAGACAGAGACAACACACCCAAGTTCGAAGTCTTCTCAAGTATAAATTTACTGATAGTAATGCAGAACCTTTATGTGTAGTATTATGTTATTTAGTGTAGGATAATATAGCAATTAATTATTTCGATAATATTTTATTATTTTACATTTATTTTATAGGACCACGATGATAATAATATCATTACCGTTTTTATCCGCAGTTTATAGTCCTCGGTCACGGCAATCGTGATCGGTAGAAATACGATCAATGATAATAATAATATTTAATAATAAAATATTTCAATACCGATAATTTCAACTACAATTTAAATTTTTTCCGGTTTAGTAATATTATACACGATTTATTTTACTCCTTTAGTCATTTGGACTATTTAGAGGAAATGAAAATATATACATACTCTGATATTCACAGTTTTTGGTAAAACATCCATGTTTTAGAAAGTAATGCAACTGCTATTTAGATATTACATTACATTATTATTATTTATTATTCAGTGTACTTTCCCAAAATGATTAATGATCTTTCCAAAGAACTTTCTTCAACGTTGTTTATATACTGACAATGGTTGCTTATCAATTTATTTTATCTTCATAAAAAAATTAAGAACAAAACACTTGCATGTACATTTAATTTAAAATAACTTAAAATTTAATTTTCATATTGAATGCATTAATTAAATCCATTATTTACCAAGACACCTTTGGTTTTTGAGTTATTTGATACTTTATCACCAACAATTTAAGATAATAAGTTAATAATTATATTCTTTATAAGTTTCAATTATAGTAAGTGTAGTCCAAAGTTATAATGTTATACATTTTAGCGATCAAGAATATGTATTTTATGACTAAATAATTGATAGTAAAACCAACTAACCATCTAATTATTTTAAATACATTACGTTTCATAGAAACTTCTAAGGCTCTAAAAATTAACTATAAAATATAAATTATTATTATAGCAAATGTAGTTAGTAACAATTTAAGCAATAATACGTGTTATAAAATGTAGTTATGTTATTTAATATTTTAAAACATTATTGATTCAAAACGGACTCTTTTTCTTGCTAAATATAACAATCTATTTTCATTTCAACGCATAAATAGATCTTATTAGTTATTAGTGTTATTACTTATTACATTAAACGGTAGTATGGATTAAAAAAAAAAAAAGTTTTAGATTCTTTGTAAATTGTATTATTTTATTTAAGGCTTGATGAACGACTTAAAGACATTTTTGGAAATAACTTTATCTACATTTAAGTTAAAATTATAAAATGTTATATACCTATCCAATAATGAATTACAATATTTTTAAATAAATAAATGGAAAAAATTGTTAATAAATAATATGTAAGTAGATATAATAAAACATTAAAATTTATTTTCAATATCAAAATCATATCATCGGATCAATCGGTAAATAGAATGAAAATGAATTTAGTAAAATAATATTATGCATTACGTGACAGTGGTAGAATGTTGACATGTATGCGTGTTTACAGAAATTAGTATCTCTATTAAGCCTTAAGATCAGTAACTAGATTAAGAGATACACACGTCTCTAGGTCTTGTATAATATGTAAAGGGTCCCTAGCTTCAAACTAAATACAAATCATATTAAATGATAATCTGTACTTTTTACCGTGTTTTCAGCTATTGTTTGTTTTCAGAATATATTTTATAATGTATTTTCCTCGAATAGCGATGGATAACGATAGCATAAACAATAATAATTGTTATTGTACATACATCGAAAATTCTCCTATGACTGAAAATATTTTATCTATTTGATCAAAATTAATTAAACCTAATACACTTATAAATGCATATAAGAATGTTTAATATATTAATATTATCATATTATTTTATAAAAATATAATAGACGTACTTATCTTTGTAATGTCTGAAACAAAATAGTACCATGGTAGAACAGAGAAAAGGAAAAAAGAAAAAAAATATTTTGAAAAATATTGTTTTTAAGTTTCAAGTAATAAGTAATTACAAATTACTATTTTAATTAATAGAAATATATCATACAAAAGTAATATTGATTTAAAAAACAAATTTTAAAATTAAATAGGTATGTACTTATGAACACAATTATTACAATGATTACTTTTATGATTCGTTTTCTTAATTCTGGATACATTTTTTATGTAAGCACTTAGCACATAAATACGCATACCAATCTTAACGATATTGGATTCATATTGCATTTTAAGTAGGTATTCATTAAATCTGTCCAGAGTTTATATTTACATTAAAAGTATATCCCGAATTAAAAAAATAATTAATAATTATACAATTTATTATTTTAATTGTGTTTGTAATTTGTATTATATATTTGAACTAAAAATAATAAATTGATAGATTAATTTTAACCTGAGTGAAATCGGATAAAACAGCTAGTTATAATAAATTTGAATAATGTTAAACGTGAAAAAAAAAATGTGTAAAACTTAAATAATACACTAATTTTATTATTTCTAGTAATGTATGATCGCATTTTTATAAGACTTTCGAGAAATTTTTATTGAATGATTACAATTTTTAAAATTAACAAAATTTTTGAATTAATAATTAGAGTTATTTATACATTAATTTAATTAATTTAATCAATTACTTTCACAAACATTAACTTTAAGCCTTTAAGGTATTATTGTATTTAATAATCAGCATTTTGTATTTTAACCTTAATAATAACAAAATTCATCCAAATATTAAATATTTAATTTTAATATACATAATTTAGAATTTGATTGTGGGTAATATGTATAAACAAAATCTATTAATTTTTAATAGGAAGTATCATGTCGTCATACATTTTTATAACGATGTGCATTCTACAGCCATATAGTGTACCTAATATGGTACATAATAATATAATGTGGTTACTTGGTTAATTTTATTATGTTCTCTACTTCTTAGTTCTTATTATTACTATAGCTGTAATCGAATAAAACATACCGTCAGAAGTGATGCAATCACTCTTTATTCAGACTTTACGCTCAATACACTTATATTATAGACTGAGTGAATAACACATTAAATTTGTTACATTTTTTATATATAGAGGATAATCAATGAAATAAAAGTAGCAAACCTACTTACTAGCTAATTATTTATTATCGAACTATTGTTTCGTCATGATAAATTTTAAACGAATATTAATTTTGGTTCCGACTGTTCTGAGTATTATATAAAAATAATGTCATTAATATAATTATTAATGACGTAAAATACAGTTTTAAGTTCTAAGTATAAATTTTTACTCGTTTATCGTTTTTAATTAATTTAGTAATACTCAATAGATATCTAGAAAAAGTATACGATAAAAACTGTTATATAAGCTTTAATGTTAGAAATAATGAGATTGAATAATAGTTTAAATCGGCTTTCTTCATCAGTATTTCTGAAATTTCTTAAGTATTTTTATGAGGTTGAAAAAAAATTTCATTAGTCGTTATTTACTATAATTCTGTAGTTACGATCAGTTAAGCTAGTATATTATGGAAAGGTTTTAAGGTATCTAGAAGGAAAAATTGTATTTCCAAATATATGGAATATTTAAATGTCTACGTTATTTATACATTTTATAAGCATTTTTAATATTATTATAGAGCGAATTGACCTAATATAAAACTTAAAGGTTTGAATGTCAGATTTTTTTTTTTGATTTTTTAATTTAAATAGCTATATTTAAGTATTTTTAATTTATAATATTTTTTTATACTAGTATCTTGCTTAAAAATTAAAATATTGAAAAGAAAAAAATTGACGTTAATACGTAAAAAAATAATGCTCATACCTTTGAATTTTGTATTAGAGCAATAAATCACTCTACAATATCAAAACCAACAATATTCAATAAATTCTGATGAATGTTAATTATTAATTTCATACGTTTGTAAGACAGAGATGACACATGCATAGATAAAATCTTTTTAAAGTAATATAGTTGTATCATACATATTACATAGTATATCTAATATATATTACATTACAATTAATAGCATGTATTAATTATGCGATTATGAATATATAAGTAGAAACACCTTGATAATATCGTATAATATAATATTACTGTTTGAAACGCATATAAATATAATAAATATATAGGTACAATTATTTTGGGTACACGGCGTACACGCACATCAACCCACCCGTTCACCCGAATACAAACACGCTGCCACCGCTTCTGTCGGTCGGTCGATGC